CATATGAAAGTGAATAAAATAGGTACCCGTCAGATGAACAAAGGCACCAAAGCTTGATGCCAAAACGAACTGGGTTACCCCTCATAAACATTTTACAAGAATAACGGCCAAAGCAAGGTACCATTTGTTCATCTATGGATAACTTGAACGAAAATATGTCAATTGGAGGGGTCTCGTTTTTGAAAATTTATCATTTTTATCCAATAGATTATTATCAGATAAGTTTTACTTTATCAATTTGAGTCTATTGCAGCTACATTTTGTCTTCATCAGTAGACCAATAATGCTAAATATGTAGAAATAATAACTCGCGAACAACAAAATGCCTACAAAATTTAAAAGTTCATTTTTTACAACGAGAATTCATGCCGGTTATTGTCTTGAGCATATTTTACCGAAAATTTTACAATCAAATCAATCACTTCGTCATCAAAAAACATAAAAAATATTTAAGCGGAGTCTTTCCAGAAAGCCTATTTTTTACTTCTTCACATGATCTAAATTCATCGGATATAGGCGTGTGAGTGTACTCAATCTGACCTTCCTTTTACTTGACAGTAGAAGCAAGAATGTCGTTTGCAGAAAAAATATGTCTTCTTTTGAATTCCAGGGTTTCATCATCTGATGAGTCCCATTCAGGTTCAGTAGTTGATGAATTATAGGACTGTTGAAGGACAGCTGTATGTATCATTTGGTGTATGTAACTCGAAAGTTCCAACTATATCAGTTGGTTCCTCAAACTCTTGAAGATTCATGTTATCGTTCATATCTTCTTCGTCAGTCAAGGTATCAAGGTATATAGACCGCGTCAGTATGTTCTGTAAATATTTTTTCACGTTATTTTTAGCATACATTTACAAGTAATGCTCTAATACATAAGAATACGTAAATCCAAATCATACTTACGACTTTCATTGTTATTGTCCTCATCCATCACGATCTCCGATAGACGCCTCTAATGCCTTTTGAGTCAAATACCTCGGAAATGCCATATTTTACGAAGTGCACAAGGCACAAACTAATACTAAACAACACGCTAATTGTTGGATGTTTATTCTACATGCGCTAACTTGTCTAGACTTGCAATAACAAAGTTTTGTTTCACAGATAAAACCAGTGGTGCATTCACGCACCAGTAAATATTTTCAAAAAATAAAGCATAATTAATATATTATTTCCAATGTATGTTTTCTGCGATGTAATCTACATGCTATAGAGTGAACAAAAATGGTAATACAAATCCGAAATATTTTTTTTACTATTTTGGATTTACTTGAAAATGTGATACAAATTTTTGTACCGCTTTTGTTAACTTTTGAAGTCATATATAAGATATTTCCTTTACACATAAATTAGCGATTTCTACGGTTTTATGTCCTTTAGTAGTGATAATAATAAAATATCTAAATGGATGTGCAAAAATATTTTATGGATTTCCCGGAATTTTGACAAGCTATAATATTACGATTTCGAATGTTTGTTACTCGACTTTCTAACATTATTTTACCACGTCGAATCTTTCGTCGAGGTTTCCGAGCTCAATTTCCGAACACCCTGTATATGTTATCTAAGAATGGGCAAACCTTAAACTGGAGGTGCTAGTAGACACCAGAATATTATGCATTTGATTAAGAGTTCTTTCATTATCATTACCAAAAATGTTATTGTCAAATTTTGGTTAGTTAGACTTGCCAAATTCCTACTCAAATCACAACATCGAGAACGCGATACGAAAAATTAATCAGCGTCGGTTGATTCTTTAAGAGGGATCTCGCGTGGGCGGCCGCTTACTAAAATATTTACGCGCTGGGCGATTTGCTGAAATCGGGCTCGCGATACGAATATATCGATGCCGTTTAAATCGAGTCCATCACGGCAATAACGTTTTCAACGGGACATCTTTCTCCGCAGTTTAAAGACGTAAATAAACTATAAAAATCTACTCGAAGAGGCCGAAGATGTTTGTATATGCCGTTCGTTTGTGACCGACGTTTCACAGAAGCCCTCCAGACCGCTACGCCTCGCATAAACAGATAAATTCTTTCTGCGCGGGTGTTTATCGCTGACGCGCTACGCGCGCTTTGCCCGACACTGGTAGTAATTGACACAACTATCTATAAAAAAAGAGCGGGATAATTGCGTTTGAAGGGCCACGTGCGAAGGCGTAGAAAGGATACACCACAATAACGATAATAAAGAATGAAGGCGGTTTGTGAGTTATCCAATTATACATCGATCTTGTTCGGACATTTCCGCATGTTTTCGGAGATGTGTCCGAGAGTGATGGCCGTATTTGTCCAAATGTTCATTTGGGAACACCACAAATGGTCGAATGTTCAAATGGTCGAAAATCCCTGACGGCTTTCGGTCCCGTTTCGGAAAGTTCCGGCGAGTCTTGTCTCGCGAGGGATCTCGATGTAGCAGAAGGTCAAGAGATGGCCGTATTTGTCCAAATATAGATAGAGAATAATTATGATTTGTTTACATTACAATGTTTTTAAAATACATCTATTTGCTAATATTTATAGTGACTCAGCTTAAAAGATTCAGTTGCATTTTAATTAATCAAAAAGCCAAACCTATCATAAATGTGTTTGTTTAAAGCATATAGCTATAAGATAATATACTGGCCTTAATACGGTAAAAAGTGATGCGCCGCAGGTGGCTATGACATTTTCGTAGAGAAGAATCTTTTGCGCATGCGTCACATCCAAATAGCTCAGTTGCCACATTGCCGTAATTTCTCTGAAAAAATTGACTATTTTTCAGAAGAACGCAAAATCAGTCTTTGAAATCCGAATATAATTGGCAACACCGACCTAGGAATTGCTATTGCCAGCGGATACTAACAGTCTGTGACATGGTTGTTTACATTTTTGCTGGTTATGATTCTCTCTTTTTGGTTATTCAGGTTTGACTCCAAATTGCAATAAAATATAGGTAAATTATTATGTGACTTGATACTAATATCAAAAGCCCGGTAGACGCAATGCAATTTTTATATGTATTTTCGGCATTTAACAATTGCTGTTAAACATTTTTAATTTTTGCTAGCAAAATATTTTTTAAATTTTGAGGCAATAAACTACACTTTTTAGGGTTTGGTAATGTTAATTCTGTTATATTTAGGGCTAATTGTTTATTGGCTTGTTTTATCATAGTTTTTGATTTTCTTGGTTACATTTTCCAATACCTACAGCTTTTTAATAATATTGTCAATTGGTACTTTTCATAATTATATATTTGGCAGGCGAAACTCTGCAATTACTAGACTTGCGATGAAAGAATGAGAATTCTGGCTATATGAGGTGCCTGTTGAATATTTTTTCCACTTAGATATTTCCAGTGCGATATCTAGTACGAAAGTTATATTTACACTTTTTAAGTCACATTTCGTGAATTCGACTTTATTTACATTTTCAATGGAAGTTAAACCAATAAATTTATAAAAACAAACTGTTTGCGCCAATTTACGGGCACATATTCGGGAAAAAATAGCTGGTATCTTGTCTATAGGGTTTAAAGAAACAAAACGTCAAACTACTTACAGAAGTATATTACTGACGCCGATCCGTATGCTGTAATTCAGCATAATATTAACCATGCACTTGTCACTAATTTTTTTAACAACGCTTTTCACACCTTAATTCCTTTTTTGCCTGAAAATTTAATAGGATTTCGACATATTTTGAGAAAATACTGCCGTAAAAATGCAGCATCCAAACATTGACGATCTGCCAGCGGCCATGTTGGTTGTTGAAAGCCGCAAGGCCTTATGGGTCGAATGTCAGAACTTGTAATTCCAACTGCGATTGGTTAAAAACGAAATTTTAAATCTCGCGCATGCGCATATTGAACAGACCTTCTCAAAATTTTAAACTAATTAAAACTAACGGTCGTAGAAAAAGTATAGTATGTAACACGTTCGGTAAACTTTTTAACTCACTCGTTAATTGAACACTCGCTCCGCTCGTGTCAAATAAACTCGTGAGTCAAATGCCGTTTACCTCACTTGTTGCATAATATACTATTATTTTACTATTACAATTGATCATTAAGTAGTTTATTTAAGAAAAAGGACAGTAATTGGAAGAAAAATCATCCAAGGACAGAGATTTTAAGAAGATTAAATTCTTAAGATTGCATAAGCAAGAAAAAGCAGGTCCTAACCTTCAATTTTGTTTTGTTTGTACTGGTCAGACATAGATATTTGAAAATCGTACACTTGGTCTTGGGAAGATATTAATACAAAAACTGTAAAAGCCACTAAAGTTCATGTGAACGGTATGCAAAATTTCGGTGAGAAACTTAAATTATAAATGTCACTTTACTTACCGACTAGATTTTAATTGTAGCTGATAGCACGTAGTATTTAAATTGTGTATTAGTTTTTGGGTACATTTTTGCAAAATAACACTAATACATTCACCGACATGACCGTCACCATTGATAAACGTCAAAATTCAAATTGTGCGGTAAAATTTCCGAAAAGATCCGATTGCTCCCAAATCCGTGCGGTAAAATCTCGGAAATGTCCGAAGTGGCCCCGATTCGTGGGAAAGGAAACTGACGTGGTAAAGTGACGCTTCCCGCACGCTAGATCGGTGGGTAATTAGGTATTTTACAGACGGGAGTAGAAAAAAACCTTTGAGAGTCCGTCCCTAATTCCCTCCTTTAATATCTACCGGGTCCGAGTTTTATTGCATAAGTAATATCTAATAAGTCAAAGGTCATTATACCAGGTTTCTTTCTCTTCCACAATGCCCGTTTTGCCTTGGTACACATAAACTTAATCCTCCACTGCGTGGCAATGGTGATAAATTTATATGTATAAATAAAACTAACCCCAAACCCAAGTGCACCCTATAAAAAGAAAGAATATGTGACCAAGAAACCAATACTAAAAAATGAATTCCTTTACATATCCAATAAGGTTTCATTGCTCTACACTTTTCTGAAATGTACTTTAATCACCTACGATTAATTACGAGCTAGCTTACCAGGGCGGGTTGCAAAAGGTCTTATCGGCTGAACAGCATAAGTGGTGCTATTATTTCCAGACGACCCATATCCAGGGCACTCGAGGTACCTCGGCAGTCCGGGTAAATGATCGTGCTGACAGCTTCTACCTGAACCCAGTCTGCAGCACCTGAACAAAGACGTGACGCAGTCTGAACAGGGTACTGCCATCTGCGGAAGCGGCTTGGATATCGTCGAGTTGTTGTTGCCGTTTTCGCAATTCAACTTTCTTGAGTACTCAGCGGAGAGCAGCCTATCGATGCCAAATTTCAGCTTCGCCGGTCCTTTTTCTATGTTTGGCATGTGACGCTCCGTAGTGCAGTTGTCCATTTTATGGCCCTTTAAGAAAAATTAAACTGGCTGGAGTAAAGCTGGATGTCTGCCTTGGAAGACTAATTCCCGTATTGGTGCAAAGTCCGGTTTCGTGATTGTATTCGGCCACTGCTGACGTTGAGAGATTTTTCACAAAGTGGTTTGTTTTGACGTAATATTTCTTAAGAACTTTTGATATGTGGTCAGGGATGTTTTGAATTAAGGAAGGGCAAAGAGTTGCGGACTCATTGTCTTTGGAAGTTTGTGGTGAAACGTATTTTGCATTTTGTACTTATAATAATAATAATAATAATAATAATAATAATAATATACTTTATTCGGGTAATTTCGACAAGGAAAATTACAAGAAAAGGCAAGAGTGCAGTACCCAGACGTATCTGTTTGCTGATTTCTACACTTATCCTTACACATACATCACACCATGGTTTTAATTAATGTTTACAATTGCGTTAAGTACCCACTTAATTATATAACAGAAAGAAACAGAAAGTCGTAACTGAACGATCTTTCAAATATACCAGATCGGTGACGAGGAACTATGACCCCTTTAAATCTTAGATTTAAGTTATTCACATCTGTTCTAAAAGTTATTTTTTCGGAGAGGTATTCGGGATATTTTGTCTTAACTATTTTGAAATAAAGGCAACAGCGATGGATCAAGCACCGCGTCTTCATGTTCGTGCAACCCGCTTCCTTCAGCTTGTAGCTGATAGGTCTTCAGCGGCGGATGCCGTAAATAAACCTCAAGCAGCATTTTTGATTGATTTGATTTTTCTGTTGGTAACAAAATGTAAGAATGGAAGATTATTATTAGTTTCTAATTGAATGATAAAACGTATGTCAGGAAGTATAGAGTTTAAATTACTAAGGAACTGTTAGAAAGATTCTTGATCTTGAGACCATTATTTTGCAAAATAAATAAGAACTAAAAGTTCAGATTTTTTCTCGTAATTATATATATTCACATGACAATTGTTTACAAACTACTTGCTACTATATAACGGCTGCAGCAGTTAAACTCTCAACAACATTAGTAAACAGTTTAAAGTTCTACACAGATTTTAAACCAAAATTTGCAATAAAAAATTCATTTGAATTAATCAACAAAATTAAATATATCAAAATCTTTTCTAAAGCATCACTATTGTCGTTTGATGTACAAAACTTATTTCCCAGTATTCCACCTATGGATGTGATAGATTTAGTAGATTCTATCCTCACAGATTCACATCTCTAAGGAAGGTTTGATTATGGGAAACCCACTTAGTCCTTTGTTAGTCGAGATTTTTATGGATAATTTGGAAAATATCATACAAGAACATCTTTTAAGTAAAAGTTTTCTATAGTGGTATAGATACGTGGATGATGCCTTTGCTTGCTTTTCTGGAACGGACAGACAATTGAATTCGTATTTTTGAAGGATTAATAAAAATCGTATAAAATTCACTATCGAGATTGAACAGAATAACTCTATTAGACTTAACTATCACGAAAACCATAAACCTTCACACACGGACACAATCATACATAACAGCTCAAATCACCCTTATATACACAAAGTGGCTGCATTTCACTTTTTTATACACAGACTTCTTAATACGCCACTCTCAATAGAAAATTACAACAAAGAACTTAATATCATTGAACAAATTGCACTAAACAGCGGCTACAATCCGTCCATCAAAATGTGGTTTAAAAATAGCTTTCAGAACTAACAACACAATAGAAAATTTTTTAAAAAACAATAAAACGAAATGTTCAAAATCTTAAAAATCAAGTGTCTACAGGTTGAAATGCGGATCTTGTCCTAAAATTTATATTGGACAAACAGGTAGATCCTTCAAGAAACGCAATAACGAATATAAAAGAGCGTTTAAAAACAGTAGTCTTGATTCTAATTATGCTACACACTTAAGCATAGAAAAACACATTTTTGACGACAATTTTGATATTTTACATACAGCCACAAAAAGTATAAAATTAAATTAATTGGAAGCCATGGAGATTAACAAAATGAGATATTCAAATGAATTGCTTAACAATCAATTAGATTTAAATACCTCTTAAGGTTTAATTGTCATTTTTCGATATATATAGTAGCAGGTAGTTTGTATATATTACATTTGATATAGACACGGTGTTGTCGAAACAATTGTCATGTGAATATTTAGTGAAAATCTGAACTTTCAGTTCTTATTTATTTTGTTAAATGGACTTTCATCAAGTAAAAGCCACCTCCGTTCAACCATTATTTTGATTTTAGATGGAAGGTGCCATGGAGGTGCGACGGCTGGGGGCAATGGAGAACCCATAACTATTGCCTACGTTTGTTCATAAATTTGACCGTTACAAGAAAAATATATTCCAGACAAGCATTTTTCAATCGAGATTAATGTCGCTAGTTTCAGTAATAGAGACTAATCAGAATATCCTGTGGATCTAAGGCAATGGTTTTTAATTGCTCAATGAAATATATAGAATTAAGTACGATATTATCAGTTCTCACTGTTTTTAATAGAAGCTGGAGATAACAATAATAATGAACTTTATTGCACATTGTATTACAAATACATTACTTAAAAGTGACATACCAAATACAAAGGAAATCGGCGTTACAAAAACTTGTTTCTTTGACAAATTTCAATTACCTATATTGTATTAATTAATCAGTAATTAAAGACTACAGAAAAAAGTCTTCTGGAGAGTAAGGTTTTAAACCTGTTAGTAACCTTTCTAATTGGCTATTTATGATACAATCTCAGGCACAAGTAACAAGGACTCCTGTTAGTTAAGGTTAAACATTGAATTTCGTAATTTACGCTTAAAATTCTGGTTCTGTGAAATATTTGCAGCTCGAAGTATATGTAGTTAATTCCTTTCAATACATTGAACAATTCAAACCGTTACATTAAATCAATAAAATTTTCTGGTTGGTCTCGAGTCCATATTACTGCTTGTCTGGAACATATTTTTCTTGTAACGGTCAAATTTATGAACAAATGTCGGAAATAGCTATGGGTTCTTCATTATCACCGGTCATCGCGAATATATTTATGGGATCAATTGAAACGAAAGTTTCCTTCCTTTTTTTCATCTAAAACTAAAATTTTGGAAACGCTACGTTGATGGTAGTTTGGTTAGTTGCCCTCATGGTCAAGAATCCCTCCAAGAATTTCTTAGTCATTTAAACTCTATACACCCTAACATACGTTTTGCTATTGAATTAAAAAGTAATAGTAGTCACCCATCCTTAGATATTTTTATCAATATAAAGTCACGCCTAACATTGGGTCATTCTGTTTACCGAAAACCTACGCACACAGACCTATACCTTAATACATTATCCCCTTTACCTTATCATTATCACACCATGAGCTATCAACTGCCTGCAGAGCCGTAAGACTATCCTAACTCTAGTCACTGAATTAACTAACCAAAACTAACCGAAACTAAAACCCCTTACATCCGCTCTTCTCTCTAATGATTGCCATATTAGACATATTAAGTGTCCCATCACAAAATACCCTTCACCAGATTTCAAATTCAAATACAATGGAACTGTTGTCCTTCCATATCAAAACATTATAAGTAATACTGCGTCAAAATCAGATTTACCTACCTTTCAAAAAATATCTTGATATCTTCGATCCCTAAAAGACAAAATTCCGTTTGGGATACTAGATACCATGGAACGCTGTACCATGCCAATGCGATCAAGAATACATTGGAGAGACTGGACGATAAATATCAACTAGGCTCAAATCAATTCTACCAACGAAAATTCCGAGAATCTATAGAACTCTACAAGTAACCAAACAATCTCAACCGCGACTCAGGTTTTTACCAATATGGGAGAATCACTCATAAGAGGCAGACAGAGTCAGTTGCAGCTAAGCTCTGATGAAGCCAACAGGATGATTGGCGAAACGTTCAGTTGAGTTCTCAGTTCACTACACACGCGTTTAAGAACTTTTACCATATGGGCTTGGACAGGAATTTTATAACCCTTCTATCGTGGTCTTTTTAGAGGCGAAGGGTCATTTATATTAAAGGGAATTATAAAGTTCATAACTTACATTGCTGTTAGATGAGAATCCCAATGTACTAAGCTCGCAGTATCGGTTTTCCGTAAATATTTGGGATGGTATTACTGGGGGCCAAATTATTGGTTCAATTATTCTAGCACATTATCTGTATTAGTCATTGAGGAGTATAGCCACCAATCCAATCCTTTGGATTTTCATTTATGGAGGCATTTAAAGGAACTTATTTATGAGGCAAATGTACAAACACTTGAAGAACTGTCAGAACTCAGAACTAGCATTCGAAGAGTTGTAAAAAAATCACGTTTTGATTTTTTTGAACAACTTAAATACTGAAACAAAAATGAAACAATGCTGAACTGCCAATTAGGTTCTTTGAAACTTATAATTAATCGGTTCCTGTACTGTCCCTTCTTCATCCTGAATTATATAAATATGTATTTAGTTTACAAATTCAGGAAAATCATTTGAATTACCATTGCTTGTTTCAATGAATTACTTCTTCGGAGATGAAATACTATTACAGAAATAATTTCACTTGAAAACAGCTGTTTGACGTCATTTTCCGTGCATAATTGTTTTTCAAAACTTAAACAACAATTTGTGATTTTCTTCATATGTCGGAATTTGTGCCGAATAAAGCGATTTTGCGAAGAAATTTGCTGCATTATTTTAAAATAGGTAGGAGTGCTGCACAAAGTCATAGTATTTTGGTAGATGAGCAAATGGTTTGCACGTTTTAAAACTGGCGATTTTAGAATTAGAAAAGTTGCTTAACGTTAGACTCTGCAACAATTACGACAATCCTAATCGAAAAAAGTATTGTGTATTATGACGTAAAATACTTTAATGAATTAACCAATAAACTGAAATATCTCAATGTCGACAAAAAAGTGAATAAAAAAGTTAAAGAGAACATTAGAAGTGTTACAATCGAATAATTAAAACGTAAAAATGAAATTCAAAATTTCTATAACTCTTTTTCAAATCGTAAAATTATAAAAAGAGATTAATATACTAATATATTATAGTATGGGCAGTATTTACCCGCTATAAGTGTAAAAACATTTTTTTATGTAAAAGGAATTTTTGGCAATAAATATTTTAATATTATTACTTGCTTTCTAGTATCTACATTGACCACATTGACACTTCTAGGCGCAAATTACTGTCATTCGGGTCGTAGAGGGCTGCCCATACTCTTAACTGCGCCCTACCTTCGAAATCGCACTCACAACAAGTATCTCACACACAAGCGTCCCCTTCACTCGCGTTCCGCAAGAATTCGAGTTCCACGCGCCACTAGGCTTAATAAGCACTAATTGGTTACTAATGGAGTCTTGATAGGTGGTCCAGGGCTTGAGACGCGGCCCGACTTAATCCTCAGTAGGGAGGAGCCTCGTCCACCGTTTTGCCTCCTTTCATTGGGTCACGTGCGCCCGCTTAAGGCGGCGCCCAAGCAATACCGACAACAGCTGACCAGAAATATTAGGTGAACGCATTTAAGGGTCGTTCCTTCTTAGTTGACTAGTTTTTTTTCAATCGGTGCGCCGCGATTTGCGGGTTATTTTGATTGCCGACGTTGAACAATCGTAATTAAGGAGCGTAGTGCGTAAATAGAGTTTCAAAGTGATATATCCCGTTTAATATTTGATTTAGAAAATAATGTTAAGTACGAAAGTTATGGCTGACAATCTTCTTCATGTCACAGCCAGGATATTCTTCTTCTTCCAATTGATCTTCTGCCCACAACCTTTCTCTGGATTATCAAGTGAAGCAGCTCATACTTTGGACCCCGCATTATGTGACCCAGATAGACGATCTTTCTCCTTTTCACTTCATTCAACACCTCCAACTTTTTGTTCATCCCGACAAGCACTTCTGCGTTGGTTTTTCTTTCGTACACTCTGTCAAGGGTCCAAGTTTCTACGCCATAGTACAGCACTGGGAATACATAGCAGCATAGCACCTAAGATCTAGGCTCAGGTAGCGGCTACAGAGCATCCTTTTCATTTTGGTAAATGCTGCACATATCTTCTCTATGCGGATCTTGATTTCGGAACAGTAATCGACGGTACAGGTGATATTTGTATCCAGTTAATCATATTTTGTAATCCGCTCTAATTGTTCTCCGTCCACATAAAGGTCTTCTTGCAGGGCGTCGATTTTTGTTATGACCATGTACTTGGTCCTCTTTGGGTTGAGCTTCAAACCAAAGTGTCCACTGGCAGTGACGACCTTATTTAGCAGTTCTTGTAGATCATGCGTATTTTCAGCAAGAAGGACATGGATGACACTAAAATAATCACTATAATAACGCACTTCAGCAACATCAAGAGTGAAATTAGGGAAATGCGTCTCCAGGGATGCCATATATGGTCTGTTCATAGATATAAGAAAGTGACCAATTGCTTTTGAATGGGATTATCCAAGGGTGGTAATTAACATACAATGCAACAAGATTATTACCTAAAGTTTCGGAATTTAAATTCAGGTAAGATTGTGGTCCGTAATAGAAAATAATTTTATACCTACCTGTGTTTAATATTCTTTGGTTTGGTATATTACTTAGTTTAAGTTTATTAGTAATCATTCTTATTTTGTGTGTAATACAGCGTGTCTTGAATCGTGTGCGAACTATGCAAAATATGTGCGAGTCGAGTGTATCTCAGGAGATGCTCCCGTCCGAATATAGAAAACACTATTCTATTGAAACTAAGGAAGTTATAAACAATGTTTATTTGACTCTTATTGAACGTGGTGCCAGCAAGCAAGCATCTTTAGAAGAAACGGCCACATTTACGAAAATTCCAACATCAACTGTATTGAAAATAGTGAATAATCCCATTTCAGCGAGGAAAAAAAGAAGCGATGCTGACATTTTCTCGAGTGTAGATGAAAGTGATCAAGATATAATACGGCGCAAAATTTATCAGTTATACGAGGAACAAAGCGTGCCTACATTAGATATCTTAATTAGGAGGCTTGAAAAAGATGAAACCGGTGTTAAATGTGGCAGAACTACCTTATGGAAGTGTATTCAACACATGGGTTTTCGCTTTAAAAAAAAATGACAAAAGGCAAGTTTTAATGGAATCTTTTAGAATTCGGAAATGGCGACTGGAATATCTAGAAAAAAATAGGATTTACAGAGAACAACAAAGGCCAATTATTTACTTGGATGAAACCTGGTTCGACACTTATGATACCCCGGAAAAGGGTTGGGTTGACTCAACTGACAAGTGTAAAACAAACGCGCCATCAAAAAAAGAATAACTATTTTGCAGGCTGGCTCTAAAGATGGTTGGATTCCAAATGGATTTTCCCTGTCTGCGAAAATTATTAAAGATTCTTCTCATAAAGACACCACCGCTGATTTATTTGAAAGTGGGTTTAAAAACAAACTAGTTCCACACATTCCTCCTAATAGCGTCATTGTAATGGACAATGCAAGTTATCACAGTAGACAATTGACTAAAATCTCTTCCTCATGTGACACAAAAGCAACAATCCAAAACTACACTTATATATACCAAAAAGCAATAAATTGAGGTTCTACAAAGCTTGAACCTACAAAAGGAATACGTCTGTGATAATTATGCAAAAAATCTGGGCCATATAGATTTAAGGCTTCCACCTTACCGCTGTATATTTATTCCCATTGAACAGGTTTGGCACCAACTGAAATCTGCCATTCGTCGCAACAATGTTTTTCCCCGTGTTAAATCCAATGTCCTCAAAAATTTAAACACAAATACATACAAAAATAAATAAATATTGTTTAGTATCTTTTCTAACAAAACCCCAAATAATTAAATTCTACGCAAAGTGCGGACCTGTTAGGCCATATTTCATTCTTACAACTTGCCCGGGTCTTTCCTTAATTCGTATCAGTTAGTCACTTTCTTATATCTATGAACAGACTTTACCGACTTTATTTCGTAGTCACAGTATGAGAGTTTGAACCGGCGCAACTAGTGCGCGTCGATGCAATTTCAAAATTGTCTTGATACGTGGACCATGAACAACTACAACGTTAGCTATATGGTCGGCAAAATAACGACGTTTATTACCCCAGTCTCCTTTTTAAACGTTGCATGGTTACGATGGCCCGCCGTTTGATAGTTTTTTATTTGTGTTTAGCGCTGGACGGCACATTTTCACACGCCGAAACGACCAACCCTGTAGACAAATTGGCTGACAAGCTTTTAAATACGGATCAGCGATACGGACTGGCCAACCTGATCAGCGCTGTCTACGCGAACATCAAGTCAGCTCCCCACGAGAGTGCCTCCGGAAGATTCGGAATACTATCCGCGTTTTTCAGGATTTTGGGTTTGGACGGGAAGAAAATCGGAGCCATAGCTGTGAACGTTCTCATTTTAATAGCTGAATCGGTAAGATATATTTCTTTCTTTTACATGGTGAGCAGACGTTAGTTTTTGGTTCAATAGAAAACCGTAAATATAAAAGTTTTAAAGCTTTTTAAATAGTACATACTTAAACGTAATAGTTTTCTTTTTTTTTAAAGTACTAGTTTTTACACCTGAAAAAAATTGGATGCCTTTGAAGGTAGGTCACTCGTATTTGGTATCAGCATTCGCGGTTGACGCAAAAGATATATGTAAAGGAATTTGAATTAGATGCCACAAGGTGTTAACCCATTTTGTCGCAGTGGTGCGTTAATGCATAATGATTTTTTTTTGTCACATCCAGGAAATATTTTTGAACATCCATTTAGAAATTTTATTATTATCACTACTCAATGACATAAAACCGTAGAAATCGCTAATTTATGTGTAAAGGAAAGATCTTATATATGATTTCAAAATTTAACAAACGCGGTTCATAAATTTGTATCACATTTTAAAGTAAATCCAAAATAATAAAAAAAATATTTTGGATTTGTTCTGTTAAGTCTATAGCCTAGATTACATCGCAGAAAACATTCAATGGAAATACTACATTGATTAGATATGCCTTATTTTTTGAAAATATTTACTGGTGCGTGAATGCACTGCTGGTTTTTTATCTGTGGAACAATTAGCGTGTTCTTTAGTATTAGTTTGTGCCTTGTGCAGTGAACGTTACAGTTCGTAGAATGTGGCATTTCCGAGGTATTTAACTCAATAGTAATTAGAGGCGGCTATGGAGGAGATAGTGATGGATGAGGACAATAACAATGAAAGTTGTAAGTATTATTTGGATTTACGTATTCTTATGTATTGTAGCATTCCATTCCTTGTAAATGTATGCTAAAAATAACGTGAAAAGATATTTACAGAACATATTGACGCGGCCTATATTCCACCCGACGTGGATACCTTGACTGACGACAAAGATATGAACGATAATATAAATCTACAGGGGATTGGGGAACCAACTGATATAGTTGGAACTTTCGAATTACATACACTACTGTCCTTCAGCAGTCCTATAATTCATCAACTACTGAACCTGAATGGGACTCATCAGATGATGAAATCTTGAAATTCAAAAGAAGACGTATGCTTTCTGCAAGCGATAGGCTTGGTTCTACTATCAAATGGAAGAAAGGTCAGATTGAGTACACTCACACACCTATATCCGATGAAGTTAAATCTTGTCTATGTTTCTTTCTGGAAGTTACCTGTCGACTCTCAGAGGTTTTGGTAATATTTTTTTTGTTGATTTAGCGTCTGATTTTATTAAATTACACAATGACATTAATTTCTAAATTCTGTTCCACTATCAGAGTCGTTATTGAGATCAATTATAATAGCATTTATGTACAATTTAAGTACGAGTAACATTTTTCTATGATAATCCAACCTAGAACATTTTTTGCTGACAACAGCAAACAGTTTGGGAGAAATCTGTCTCCTGACAAATCACCATCTTCTTCTAGTTTCTTTTTCAGTTCATCCAAGGACCAACTTCGTTTTGATAAAGACAATGTATTTTTCTTCTTATTAGGTCCTGATTACTATTGTCTTGAAAATCCATTTTCTTTAATTCTCCACTATTAATAATCTCTCTTATCGAGAATATTGGCGTTTTTGTAAGTAGACAGGTTTTTTTAAAGCTCCTTGTTACTTTCTAAAAATCGATGAAACCGATTCTTTTCCAAAGTATACGCGCTCCTCACTAAACTCGAGATATCGATAACGGTGTGGATGGATTCAGCATCGAAAAAGCATGTTTTTTTTTGTCTGTTCGTTCTCTGTTTCTCCGTTCTCTGTTCCAGGGTTTTTCGACGATAACTTCCGAACGGTTCGAGCTACACGCTTCAAATTTTGCTCCTTTTTAATCGTCCACGGGGGGGGCATAGGATATGTAATAATGGCTGCGTTCAAGTTTCGACGTCCATCTTTTTTTTTTCGATTTTCGACTGTTTTATGGACGTTGCTATGAATCACGATAAGTGCCCGAAATTTGCAGCTATCGACTTCAAATTTGGCAGCCAAATAGCGTTTGGTCTCTTAACGGAACCTGTTGAAATTGGGGGGTTGGGGGATCGCGAAGTATTTAAAAAAAATTAAAAACTGCGTTTGCAATGGTCTATGGACAAGAACATTTCTCGAAAATGGTTTTTGGAACCGAAAAAATTCAAGACTCGATGACGTCCATTGATTATTACGGCGCGCTGCATGGTTTCAGAACAATCTCTTATTTTCTCGAAAACTATTTACTATTTTAGAAAAACTCTTGGGCCTGGAAACGTGGAAGGGCTATAACCTCCATTTCCGAAAAAAAAACCCTGAAAATTGCCAATTTCGTGGATAAATTATTAGCTGTAAATGAAAAACTATAAAACTATAATTGTAAATGGTTATTACTTGTACAATTTTTTATATTTATCAAAGTTTGTGGTGACTTTGAAATTCGGCGATATGTGACAGACGCTTTATACAGGGTGTATACACAATATAATTACATAGATTTTGTGAAAGTTCCATAGTGGTCTGCAGAAGCACGATAGAAAAACGACGCGTCCCTCTTCGCGGTTTCTTTTTGAAATCCAAAGCCCCGCCCAGTAACGATTTTCCGAAAGCAATCTTGTTGAATATATTCTCTACTGAACAACACTATGAAGATTGAGACACACTATACCTTGCGTGAGCAATAAGGTGAGAGATTCCACCAAGATATTAAGTAAATGGAACTTAGATATCCAGGTGGATGGAACATTGCAGTGAGATGGCAGATTACTGCTGCTACTGCTACTGCTTAGGGGGAAATCTTCCAAAACTAAATGGATTTTTTAATTCGGTTTTTGTTCTTGTACCGAGATTTTCATTTATAAATTCCTTTAATGGTGATAAAAAACCTTACGCGATTTAAATTTAGGAGGACTAAATTACTCTGTAATAATAATAGAACGGGGAGAAAAGAAAAGTGACGTGGGACGTCGATACGGACTTACACCGTCGACTGTATCCACGATTTAGAAGTGCAAAATAAAATCAATCAGGCTAAAACTAAGAAAGCCAAAATTTGAAGATTTGGATCGGGCAATCGGGCAGTGCTTCCAACGTCTTAAAAATATACCACTCTCTGGACCTATCGTAAAACTAAAAGCAGTTTGCTGAACAGCTTGGCATTATCGATTTCAAGGCTTCAGAAATATGGTTGGGGAAGTTCAAACAGAGACATGGTGTAATGTCGACAGAAACGTCACTAACGATTGGCTGGAGGAGACGTGGCCAAAACTAGCAGAAAAGTACCCTGCTGACGACATTTTTAATGCTGTCGAAATTAATATTTTTTACAAAATGACGCTAGATAACTCTTAAATTTCGAAGCGAAACGTGTGTGGGTGGAAAACTTTCTATAGAACATATAACAGTGTTAGTAGCTGCCAATATGAGTGGAAGAGAAAAAAGAAAGCTAGTCGCGATGGGAAAATCAACTAACCCACGTTTTAAGAACATCAAGCGTTTGCCGGTCACTTACAAGGCAAACAAGTCTGCATGGATGACATCGCAAATTTTGGAAGAGGAGATACGGAAAGGGGATGCAGAATTAAAGCGGAGGAAAATACATATTGCTTGTTTTAAATAACTGCCCTGCACATCCCCATATTCCAAATCTACGGAATATCGAATTGGCATTTCTTCCAGCCAAAACAACAAGTGTATTACAGCCGATAGACCAGAGCGTAAAAGTCTTAAGAGTCGATACAGGAAAAACATTCGTTCGAAGACAAATTGTCCATTAATATTTATTAGTAAAGCTTGGAAAGAGGTGACTGCAGAAACATTTCAACACCCCTATCGTCATGCAGCACTTATTACCGAGACAGAATGCGAACAGGACTTGGAAGATGATCAGCCACTAAGGGAGTGGATAAAGCAGTTTCAAACAAGAATTAGGTTTACAAGTGAGGAGTTGCAAGATTTTATGGTGATAGATCAGGATTTGCCTACAACAGCAGACTTGACAGAGGAAGCCATATTACAACAAGCAAGAAAGGGTGAAGAAGAAGATGAAGAAGAAGAAGAAGATAAAGAAGTTGATTTGGGACCACCACCAACCATTCGTCGGGAAGATCAAAATACAAGCCAAAGTACGAGATGCGTATTGGAATACTAAAAAAAATCAATAGAAAATGACCGATTATTTGAAACATTAAATGTAGTTCTTAAATATTTATATAAAATGTTTCTACGTAGATGTTAAAATATGTATATAAAATAATTAAATATTACAGAACACCTATGCGTATTGTTATTTTTCAAGTGCACATAACTCTTTATAAAAGCAGTCCCTTCAATTTCACTATATAGAGTTTCGACTTCAACTTCATCAATATCATATCGATAAGAACGTTTTCTTTTCAGATAAGTGCCTCCCTCTCAACTAAATCATCTGCGGAATTACCACAATCTCGAAAGCAGACAGTCACAGGATCCCCGTTCCAGTGGATGAACGAGAACGCCGTGGTCGCGGAAATGGCTTCGCACATGACAGACGCCAGCTTGCCAAACGAAGTCGTGAAGCACATTAAAGAAAGGTCTTTGGACGAAGCGACGGGTTGCATCCAACTGCTTATGTGCAAGGTATCACCTTTCGTTTGGGGAATGCAGCGTGCTTTGAACGCGTCAGAAGCTAAGAAGAAAACGCGACTATTCGACTACTTGCCATCTATCGAAGAAGTTGGGCAAAATGGCGATAGTTGTGACGGGACCTATAGTTATTGTTCCCCAGATTTTTTGTGACTTTTGAGGCTAAACTCGCCGAATCACCCTAGGTATTTACCCCTTGTAGGAAATAAGTAGTTTGGAGTTAGAGTCGGTAGTATGAGTTATATACAACACCATTCTATTTCAATGTAAGAAATTAGAAAATTCACGTATGCTACGGCCCCGGACAGACTGAATTTTTAGTAAAAAAGTATATTACGTTTTTTTTTTAATGAAAAAGTCATAAAAATATTACCTTTGGTGAATTTTCTCAATTCATCAAGAGAGAATCAGGAAAAAAAGTTTGGTATACTAAAAATAACGGGGATTTCCGATTTAAAAATTTATTTTTATGGTGGTTATATGAGACTTTCATAGGGGAATCCGAAACTTCTCGATTGTCCCTAAATTTGGGAGACTTTTGAAATGAAATTTTATTATTTTTAGTAAATTCCGGTTAAATTCCACTAAACATTAGCCTTTTCGCTCATTTTTATAATGAAAACCAGCAGGAAACCAGGAAGATACGACGTTCCAAAATACAAAAATAAACAACAACAAAAAGGATATTGTATTCTCAAGGACATTAAATATAGAAACCCAAAGATAAACACCTCTTCTTAGGTTTGTGAGGCGATTACATCTTTTATTGTGAATCCATCTGGATGTGCTGAAGGATCTCTCACTGGTACGCAAGGCGGTATCTGAATGGGGACTACCTCTACAAATACGGTTCCACCATGACAACGGAGAGTTTAGCCCATAAACCATCTCTATCTAAATCCTTTGACACTAACTCTTCATTATTCGTATTGGCTGAAACGTTATGGATAAACTCCATTACATCTATATTTGCTAAAATTTTAGATATATCACCAACAGCACTAAAGGTATCTTCAGGCTCAAAAAAACTGATAGTATCTTCTTCTACTTTGCACATGCTGGAATAGCAATTATCATGATGATTTGTTGGCTCTCTCCATCTCATAGGTATTCCAACAAGTAGTGATTGCCTGGTTTCATGCTCTTCACATCCCTTGCTAACAGTATGCGGCGCCCAATTTTTCCTTTAAAATAAGCGTAGTATAGTTTTTTAAAAAGAGATGTAATTTTACATCTAAATTTCTTGATCGCAAAAGAACCACACACATATGCACAAATATTTGTACAAACTCTTGGCATTTTTCAAAGAAATGACTGCCTACAAGAAAATTATGTACAGGGTGTTTATTCGAAATGGCTCATCTCTTTTAGATGTTTCGCCCATAAACGCTCCAATGTATATAATTCAAACAATGGTCGAAATCGAGATTATAACCTTGGATCTCCCACATTTCCTGGTATATAAATTTTTCCATTGGAATAAATGGTTTTCGAGGAAATACTTGTGTTCTGAAACCATGCAGTGCGTCGTAATATCAAATGACGTCATCTCGTCTAGATTGAGTGCGAGAAATGGTGATTTTCATTTGGATTTTTTCAAATATCTCGAACGGAGTATGTGATTGACCAAAAGAACTAAAAGTTCAGATTTTCACGAAGTCATATATTTTCACATGACAATTGTTTCGACAACACCGTGTCTTTATCAAAAATTGTAACATAATATAATAATATAATTAATTTTGATTTACAGCTAATAATTTTCTCTGGAAAAGAACAATTCTCATAATCGAAAAACCCTGTATATAATCGAAAAAACTCACGAAATAAAAGTTATAGTCCCGGATCTCTCGCGTATCAGATCAAAAATTTTGGGGATCGGCTAAAGAGTTTTCGATAAAAATATTTTTTTAGAAGCAAAAATAATCCATAAAAAATCATTTTTTTAAATATTTCTCGACTTTTGATTTAGCCCAACTTCTCAAGTTTGAATGTAGGTATGGACTTCTACTATATTTTATAATATAGCACAAAATATACTGAACACCCTACACAATATGGGAAAACGTTCAATAAAAAGTTTTAGGTGTCTATCCAGACGGTGTGGCCATGTTAAAGAAACTGACAACAGAAAGACAACCTTCTAGTTATAGCCAATTGTCCCATTTTTTAGCTTATTGCAAACTACCGACGCACCCTGTACATTTTGAAAAAATATTATTCCTAATGATTTTTTGATCCTGTTTTCAAGGGTCTTTCAAAAATTTTTCTCGTTATTGCAGAGCCGATTTTTAATATTTTTTAAATACTTCCCGACCCCCTAGTGCCCCCAGTTTCGAAAGGTTCCGTTAGGATACTAAGTTTTATACCCGTGCAAAGTTTGAACTCGATGGTTTTAAATTTCGGACACTTATCGTGTTTGTACGAAAAACCGTGGAAAATCTAGAAATAAAGATGGAAGCCAAGGTCCGATCGGGACCATTTCTTATAATATTATGTGTCTCGTGGGCTATTTAAAAGGAGATAAATTTCTGCTCCCTTGCTCCAACCGTTCGGAAGATATTCGCGTTTTCATGGAGCGTCGGCAGAGAACAGAAAACTGAGAACGGAGAACAGACAAAACATAAAAACGTATTGTTTCGACGCTAATTTCGTCTGTACCAATGGCGACGCGGTAAGACGCACCGTTGCCAAGATACAAGTTTTCGTTGCTAAGCAACAAGAAAACATTGTTTTTCCCTATAAATCAATCAAATCTGATAACGAGCAACGTTGACCGAAAATCGACCCGTGTAAATTTCGAGGGTCGATTTGACATAACTTAATAAGTTAAAATAAGTTAGCGCGGGAGCGCCGGCATAAATTAGTTCCCTTAAAACGGCCAACGTCCTGATATATCGTTATTAGCATCGGGTGAAGGACCACACACGAGGCGTGATCTCTCGACCCGTGCAAGTCGATTTTGGGTTTAAATCAAAACGTAGTATTCTCGTAACAGCATCCTGATTTATTCGCTACTAATACGGAGTTTATTCGGGCACTTTTTGATGTGGCACAGGAGTATTTTAGTGATTAATTGCAGGATTATTGTTCGGAGGAGCTATAAAATGCCGTCGATTGACGCAAATCAAGGCAAGTAACCCAAAAGATGTTTTTTTCTACTCCCGAGCCACTTCGGACATTTCCGGGATTTTACCGCACGGATTTGGAAGCAATCGAATGTTTTCCGATATTTAGCGCACAATTAGAATTTTGACGTTTGTCTGCTTTTCCTTGCTTATATGATATTAAAAATTCAATTTTCTTAAAAGCTCTGTCCTTGGATGATTTCTCTTTCAATTATAGTCTTTTTCTTTAAATAGACTACTTAATGATCAATTGTAAATGTTAAATAATATAACGTTTTAAAATTGTGTGTATTCCGTTGCTTATACGACATATCCAATAATACATCCCTCTCCGTCTAACCTACACAGTTGAAAAGAGACAACAGCAAAACCGATAGGAACGATAAACGCATAGGTTTAATGGCAACTAGTAAATATTTTGCTTGAATGGTACGAAATTTGGTAATCTGATAATCAGTTATTATTTATAATTTGTTGAATTGTGAGTCAAATGCCGTTTGCCGCACTTGTTGCATAATATACTATTGTATTTTGTGGTGGACGAACCAACTGGGAGATATATTGCACATTCATTGATTGGTGTCTTGAGGGAGACCAATGAATCCAAACATTGTAACTAGATTTGTTCAAAAAACATTAACCAACTTTTTTTTGCCCAACAGTGGCCCAACCTATTTCAAGCCACTTGTTTGGCTCATTGTATCAACGAAGTGGCAGAATGTATGAAAGACCAGTTTCGATAGTTAAATTAATCAAGTAAAAAAAGGGTATTTTCAAAACCACATTCACATGTTCAATTTTATAAGGGAAATGGTTCAAATAGTCAAGTACCCCCACAATCAGTAATAAACTCGCTGGGGAATTTGGTTAGCTTCTAGTTAAAAAAGTTATCGAAGATCTGAACGATCCATCTTCTGCTGTTCTAATAAACGTGAGTGTTTAATAAACAAGATTGCTTTCGAAAAATCGTCACTGGTCGGGGCAAGTTCTTAGCGCGTAGCTCGAAGCAGCTTTGAATTTCAAAAAGAAGTCATTTCGCGGTTTCTTGTGCTAGAGGGACACACTATCGAATTTTCGCAAAATAGATGTAATTTTATTGTGCGTGCGCCCTGTATCTTGCACGTTCCGCCGAACTTTAAAGTTACGATAAACTCTGATGAATGTTAAAATTTGTACAAATAATTTTCGAATTCGAATGATATTTTTTCAAATATCTCGCGCACCCTGTATGATACACGAAACCTGAAACTTCCTCTCGACACAATTTATGATACTGTTTAAATCGAATTTTCCCATGTTGTGTAGTTTTTCATTTACCGTTATTAATTCACCTACGAAAACTGCAATTTTTAGAATCTTTTAGAATGTTTGCTCCTAAACGACACACCCTGTATATAATTCAATCAATTTACAAAATAGAGGTGATATCCCTGGATCTCCCACGTTTCTTGGTATATAAATTTTTCCAATAGAGTAAACGGTTTTCGAGAAAATACATGTTTTCTGAAGCCTGCTGATATTCATTTTGATTTTTTGCAAATATTTCGAACAGCGTCTGTGCTAGACGAAAGCCGCAAATACCATAATTGGCTCTTGATGCGGTGTACGATACTGTTTGCGATTTTTGAAGTACGGTTAATAATTTACTCTTTAAAAGAACAATTTTCTGGGTCTTTTAGATTTTTGTCTATAATTTAAAAACCCTGTATATAATCGAAAAAATGCTTGAAATAAATGTTATAGCACTGGATCCTCCGAGTCTGCCAGTGAAAGACTTTTGCCGATCAGGTTAATGGTTATGGAGAAGAACATATTTTTCTGGAAGCCAAAATAACCAAAAAAAAAAAAATCAAAAATTAAAAAAAATATTTTGCGGTACGTAATTGCGCACGCCTTTAATAGTTTAAAGTTAGTCTGAACTTCTACTTCTCTGCCAAATCTGAAATCGGTAGCTGTAAATTTACGGCACCTATTACGTTTTTTAATATTGCACGAAATATCGCAAGCACCCTGTACAATAGGTGAAAATCTTATATAAAAAAACTTTAGCTGTGTATACGAGCTTTATTGCTATTTAAAAGAAACTGCCAACGCCAATTTTCAATAATAGCGAGACCCATTTTTCAGTTTTTTTAATTTACCCTGTACATTTTTGAAAAATTTTCAAG